TCTGGAGATTCCTCAAAAAATTAAGATTAGAGGTCCTATTTATCCCAGCCATTTCCCTTCTGGGTATTTTCCCAGAAGAATTAAAAACATCATACCATAGCGATATATGTGCACACATGTTTATAGGAGCTCAATTTGTTGTAGCAAAATCTTGGAAACAACCCAGATGCCCATCAACTGAGGAATGAATAAAAAAAAGTAGTATTTTATATAATGGAGTATTAGCTATACAGAAAGTTAAACTTGAGGCTTTTATAGGTAAATGGGTGAAACTAGAGGATATGTTCATAAGTGAAATAAATCAGACCCACATGTGTAAACACCATGTTGTCTCTCTAGTGTAAGAACCTGAAAGAGTAAATGAAACTGAAAGGTAAAATAGATATTGTAAAAGGGAAAGAAACTGCTCAATAGGAAAGAACAACTGGGATGAGGGAAAAAAAAGAAATACACACACATATATACGATAGCTAAGATGATTATACTACTAATTTCTATTGGTTTATTGAAAGGAACAGTTAATGTTTAATTGATCAATCTTGAATACCTACAACTGGTAATTTGAGCAAGTACTTTGAAGATAACAGTAAGTAATACAACAACCATTGTTGATTTCCTATCATCTTGTTTTGAAATTCTGTATCATTTTTATAGTTTTTGTGTTGTTTTGTCTTTGTTTTTTTTATTTTGTTTTTGTTCTTTTCTCTTTAAAATAAAAAAAGTCTTTCTACCTATTGATTGCTAGGAATAATGATGCCATAAACATTTATGTACAGGATTTGGGTTTTTTTTGTTTTTGTTTTTGTTTTATTTGTACAGGATTTTGTGCAGACACATTTTCATTGTTTTTGAATAGATGCTAGGTGTGTAACTATGATAATTCCAAAGTGGCTGCCCTGTTTTACACCCCTACCAGCAGTGTATGAGGGTTCTGATTTCTCCACCTCCTCACCAACACTTATAGTCTGAATTTTTTTTTTTTTTGTCTTTTTGAGACAAGGTTTCACTATGCAGTTCAGGCTGGCCTCGAACTTGAAGTGATCCTCCTGCCTCAGCCTCCTGAGTGCTGGAATTACAGGCATGCACCATCACACCTGGCTTATTATCTGAATTTTTATTTCATTTACTTATTTGGTTTTTTTGAGGCAGGGTCTTACTGTGTAGTTCAGGCTAGCCTTGAACTCACTACAGTACATGGCCTAAATTGGCCTGGGTCTCATGGTGATCCTTCCACATCAGCCTCTTGAGTGAGTTCTGGGATTATAGGTATGCACTACCACATGGGAAATTATCTGAATTTTTAAATTGTGACCCTCTTATTGGTATGAAATACTATCCCATTATGGTTTTGTTTTGCATTCCCTTGATGGCTACTGATAGTGACCTTGTTTTATTATTGTTATTATGTATTAAACATTTGCACTTTTTTTGTACCAGGAATTGAACTCAGGGCCTCATGCTTGCCAGGCAGGCACTGTGCTGCTGAGCTATATCTCTGGCCCTACATTTGCATATTTCTTTGGAGAAATATCTACTCAAGCCCTTTGCCTCACTCCCTTTTGATTGATTGATTGAGACAGGGTCTTTCCATGTAGTCCAGGCTGGCTTTGAACTTGTGATCATCTTGCTTCAGCCTCCCAAGTAGCTGGGATTATAAGCTAGGATTATAACTTCCAACATTTGCCCACTTTTATGTAATGTGATTGGTATTCTTATAGAAGCCTTGGTTTTCATGAATACATTGTGTAGAAAGCTGTTGTTGTACTTGTCTGTCTTAATTTGACCTTCCCTATTCCTTTTGGTCCTCGTGGAGCAGCCGATCATATCACCCTTTCCACTCTGGCCACAGTGACTGGTCCAAAGATGAGTGAGCAACTCCATGAGATCCAACCGTAAACTTCTTCTGGGATTTTATCCATAAACTAAGAAGCTCTTCCTCCACTCTGGGGACCTAAGGATGTGTCCTAGACACAGCCTGTGT